CACTTTCCAGGCGATTCTGCATTCTGACAAGATAACAATTAACAATAAGCATAGCACAGAGTCTCCTGAAAAGATGACACCTGTCACTGGGTCATTAACTTCTGTGTGAAGTTCTCTGTGTTAAGAACTGTTTGTCCCTCAGAACACACCACGTCTTCCCCCTTGTGCTTAAATAGGAATGGCCCCCATAGGCTCATAGACTTGAAAGTTTGCTCATTAGGGACTGGGGCTACTTGAGAAAGAATTAGGTGTGGCCTTGTTGGAGGAAATGTATCACTGGGGATAGGCTTTGGGGTTTCAATGCTCAAGTCAAGCCCCACTGTCTCTCTCTCCCTGCTACCTTCAGATCAGGACGTAGAATTCTCAAGCCACTTCTTCAGCACCATGTCTGGCTGCATGCCACCATGTTTCCTGCCCACAGGGACAATGCACTAAACCTCTGAACTATAAGCCAGTGCCAATGAAATGTGTTCCTTTAAAAGAGTTGCCCCCGGGGCTGGAGAGAAGGCTCAGCGGTTAAGAGCATTGCCTGCTCTTCCAAAGGTCCTGAGTTCAATTCCCAGCAACCACATGGTGGCTCACAACCATCTGTAATGAGGTCTGGTGCCCTCTTCTGGCCTGCAGGAACACACACAGACAGAACATTGTATACATAATAAATAAATATTTAAAAAAAAAAAAAGAGTTGTCCCCTCACCACAAGAGAATGACTAAGACACCTTGAATGGATGCGTCCTTGTGCTCCAGTCTTTTGGTACTGTACCCTCCCTGTCAGTCCTTATCAACTCTAAGTGTCTGCTGGGCCAACTCCACTGTACAGGCAAGGAGACAGAACCTGGCTGAAGAGTAGCAGAGCAAGGCTCCTCCAGGCATGATTTCCATGCTCCTCTCTCTCTCTTTCTCTGGATGGTTAAAGTTCAGATGTCCTGAGACATGTGTGAATCTCAGGTATTCTAGACACCCAGAGATGGCGACTGGTTGTCAGCAGCTCCCCTTTGTTAACACCAGCGGTCTCTGAAAGCTCCAAGTCTGGACAGACTCCATCTTCTATTTCTAACCAGACTACAAACTGGCATCCTAGCTTGTTGGAGAGACTGCCTCAGCCCTTCATACCAGAATAGGTGAATAGAATTTAAAAACTAACCACCAAGGGCTGTGGAGAAGGCTCTGTTAGTAAGTGCTTACCGTGCAACTGAGGGACCTGAGTTGAATCCCCAGAACCCATATAAAACGCTTAAGATCCCAGTGCTGGGGAAGTGGAGGCAGGGGCTTGTCGATCAGCCGACCAGCTAATAACTACTCAGCAAATTCCAGGCCTGGGAGGGACGCTGTTTCAAAATAGGTAGACAGTGCCTGAAGAATGGCCTCCACACACATGCTCATGTACACACAAGCACACTCCCATATAAACTTAACCACCAAGGAAAATCCAAAGTGACCTTACAGCTTTCAAGCAAAAAAACAACAACAACAAAAAACTAAAACCAAAACAAACAACAACCAGAAAGCTCACACTCTTCTCTAGTGTGCCTTTTGCCTCTACTGCTTGAGGCAGAACAGCACACACAATACCTTTGAAACCTGGAGAGCCAGGCTTGCTGTCACCACAAGCTGCACAGAGTGGGCACCGACTTGGGCGGTACTCGCTTCACAAATACTCCCATGGGACAGACGGCGAAAGGAAGTGTGAAGTTCGCAGCAGTGCCTGAGGGACACAGCCTGCCTGCCTCAGGACCGCTCCACTTGTCCTGGCCACTTCCCTAGCCCACTTCAGCAACTGCTTCATCAGTACAGCTGAGACCAACAGAAGCCTTTGTGCTTGTTTGCTGCCCAGATCAATTCCCCCAAAGGATCCGCAGCAAGAGAACAACAGCCCAGACGTTGCTACACAGCAGAGTGGAGGCAGGAGAGCGAGAAGTGACTACCCATGAGACTGCTTTGTTCCTATACAGTAGTATTTATTGACTTGGCTAGAGCTTGTTTTCCCACAGGGCATAACTGCCCCTGACCAGGTCAGGACCATGTTATTCATTGCTGCGTCTCCAGGGCTTTGAAGAAGTGAACTGTGCAGCCAAAGTGACAAGGAGACACACCAGCTACAATATGCAGTATCCATCCCGACCAAAGCTTTAAGAGCGAGTCAAGATTTTCGAGCCAGTTCTCTACTTGCTCCTCTCATTTCTACACATCTTGTTTGTGTCCAACTGGCCAGCAGGCCCTACTCTTCCCCTAATCCTGTGATGCACTGATACTTAGAAGGGCCTAGTTCTCACTTCTTTTGGCAAAAACATAGTTTTAAAAAACTAGCAAATTGGAAACTGTCCTGCCCTTCACTCTGCTGGTGGCCCTGGTTCCCCAGGAACCATTCAGAGGCGATAGAGACAGTTGAACGAGGACAACACTGCCTTTCACCTGCACACAGCTTGAAGCCTAGAACATGGGGTGGCTGACATGTTCTTGGCACTCCAGTGGATCGGATATGTGAGGAGATGGTGCCAGTGGGGTGCGAGGTGTTGATGTGGGCCCAGAGCAGTGGCCCCAGCAGAGGAGGGGCTGAGTGCAGGAGGCTGCACCCAGAGTTGGAGCTGGGGCTTGGGGAGGGATGGCGGGGTCTGAAGTCACAGTTAGGGCTGGCAGGACATATATGGGGCTCCTGGAAGCTGAGCTGGGTCAGGTGCAATTCCTCCAACGGGGACAGCCTTCATGGGTCACAGTCACAGTCTTCCCTGTGACAATCGGGCCAGCATGGAGAAGCAGAGACTGGTTTTATATAAACCTGATTCAGTAGAACCTCTACACCAGAAATGGGTCCCCTTCTAGCCCAATTTCAGGGCAGCAGGCCACTTTCTGGTGGGAAAGTACCAAGGTGGGGTCCCAAACTACTTCAGAGTTGTGTATGACCTTGCCTGGATATGTCCTGAATACTACTCAGGATGCAATTGTGAAGGTGTTTGTGGTCAAAGAGAAACGTAGGTCTCTCTGACACTCAGCACACTCAGGCATAAATAAAACTCGAAAAGTCCTGCAAAGAACACACTTCACTCACAACGCCCAAATGTCATTAACAAAGCAGCACACTTTTAACTCATGCCATATCACATCTGTGGCTGTCTCTAGAATCCACTCATCTCCACTCCACAGACTTACAGGCCGCGGGAAGTGAGGATGTAGGAAAGACAAACAGGGAACGCTGAGTGAGCAGCTCACCCAAATTAGTTTCTCAGAAATGCCAGAAACATTTGGAGATGTCAACAGCCTCACTTCACCAGCTAGCAACTTTCTAGCCAGATTCTGCTCTTTGTATGCCACACATCACCAATCCCAACTTCTGTCACGAGAAGCTGAGTTACCAGACCCAGAACAAATGCTGTTCATCCTACAGGGTGAGAACGCCATCACGGGCATACCCTACTTTTGCTGTGAGTGTATATGCTCATGCATGCCTTTGTTGGAGCAGAAGCCAGTGTTGCTCACTCTCTAAGTGGAAGGGACCACTGTCTCTACTCCTCTCCCATGTTGACCAACCTATGCTGTCCTGCCTGCATTACTGAGCCCTTCGTCAGGATCCTTGACAGATTTACTTCAGGGGATTCACACCCAGACAATACTTAGTGCAATCTCAAGCTCCCTGGTCCCTTCTCCAGGCTTCTTCAGCCCATCTGGGAGGGATTTCTGGACACATCGAGCCTGATGGCCAGGACTTCACAGAACTCCATCTTTACCCTAAAGGTAGGCAAGCCAGCTGGCCGCCTGAACCACCCCACCCTACCCAGCCCCCTGAAGCTGCCTTTATGATCCTTGGGGAAGAGTGGAAACATGGACTTTAGCACAGGCCTGATACCCAGTCCTTCTCTACATCTTGCTCATCACAGGCGCTTGGCCCTTAGCTGAAGTCCTTGAGGCCAATGCAGGCTCCACTGCAGGACTGATGATCCCAGGGCAGTTCAAAGAATTCCCCACGTATTCCACAGAGCCTATTACAGGTTCCCCAGCAGATGAGAGAAGCCTACAGATGCTCACATTAGTGGGACAGAAGCTACTCAGCTTGTCAGGTTTTGTATCAATTCTACAAGTTGATTCTGCGCTTTCTAGACTTGAGAATTTAGAACCTGATACGTGCATGCCCATATGTTCAAAAGGTAGGAATTATGGCTTCCTTTCTATCAGCAAGAACCAGGTACAGCACAAAGATATGCCAAGGAGCAGCTATTGAGGAACCTTTCTAAAATGCTTATGACATTAACTTCACTGAAGAAACCTGGAGAAGGATAGGTGGCTCTCTAGGTGTATACACACACACACACACACACACACACACACACACGATGTACACATAAGCGATTACTGGTTGACTGTACTTTACAAATTACAAAGAAACAAAAATAAACAAGCAGCCCTGACAGAATATTCCCAAATTGCTGTTCGTTTTTACTATAAAGGAACATGTGAGTTGTACTTAGAATGCTACCCTGTGAAAGTAGTAAGGGCATGAACATGCTAACTGCTGGTAAAATGTTCTAAGAAATCTGAAAAGAAACTACATCTTATCCAGTTTAGCTCCTCTCAGTCTGGTGATCCCTCTTCTTGTTAGCACCTTTCAAAATGTCAAAAACTTAAACTAATAAACTTTTCACTTAACCAACAATGCTGGAAATGTGTTCTAAAGATCTGGAAGTGAACATTCTGTCCACTTAGTTCCAGAATTATCAAACCCAATAAGGAACACGTCAAATACATCACAGACAATCCAGGAGTTGGAACACATCAATCAGCATGGTAGGACCTCAGCAGAGAGCACCACTATTATAAGGTATTAAAAGACAATTATGCCATTTCTCAGAACATGAAGCGCAACTTGAACACAATCTTATTAAAATACACAACTCATGGGCTTCCCTATGGGAGGACAACCTTCCAAGACTACTACTGCGACCACAACTTACTTGTTCACACTGCATTAAGTAACAACATTAAAACAAAAAAGATAAAAAGACACAAAGTGAACAGACCATAACTTTATTGGCTACAATTATTAAAAAGAAAAATGAAAACAAAACAAACAACTAAAGATAACTGTGATCCATAAGGTGCTGACCGCAGACCTGCAGTGACAGCCATGTGCATGAACTACGTGTCTTTAAAAAGCTGCAGCATGTGATGGCCATGGTTTATTGTCAGCAGAACTGTCAGTCTGACTTCACCTTAGCCATTTCCCTTTATTTACAGCAAAGGCAGCCGTGTTCTTCCCATTCACCTCTGCACTTTTGCTACAGAACCAGCAGAGCTGAGGTGAATTCTGAGGGCATTTGTAACATTTAAACTGTCTGTGGTTGTTCTTCAAAGAAAACTGAATAAGAATAAAATAATGATTAAACTAATATACGCAAGTTAGTTTGAGGTGATCATTTTCCCTGCTAGTGGATAGCACACGGTCTCCATGCCAGACACACAACTTTTACAATCATTTTAACTATTCTTGGTCTTAAACATATCTTTAAAATGTCTGGTGTACAATATAAAATACAAAATTTATTGAGAAATAATTAAATTCCAGAAAAGTAATCAGCAGGTGGGAACTATAGGTTCTTGGACATCGTTAAATCAAGCACAGGGGAGACACACAAAACCCGAGTGCCCCTGCAGACACGACATCAGCTAAGGACGAGGATATAGGCTCAGCTCAGGTCCATGAAATAAAGGTGCAAGGCCTCGGTTTGCTAGTATAACTTTGTGCAGAAGGATTAGACGCCTTCACTGAGCAGGGAAATCAACAGGCCCCTACAAGCAAACCGGGTGGTTGTGGGGTTTTGGCTGTTCTCGGTGCTCTGCAGTCACACAGGAACTGAAGAGCAGAACAAAGCAACCTCAAATCCCTGCTAACTAGACAGCACGTCTGCATCTTTCTGAGGGCGGGCGACTGTCAGGAAAATACAAACATCTGTATTTTAAAGGATAATTATAGGAGTGCTAGCTAGAGGTCATTCTAAATTTAATCATTTCACATAATACAAAAAAAAAAAAAGAAATGTAACCAAAACATTTTAAAAGCATAATTAAGTGTTCAGTCAAAAATTTCTGCCATGCTTTCACCTTACAAATAGAAAAAGAAAACGCCACAGACGTAATAATATCTAAGTTGTGCAAATGTGTGACAAGGCTGCAGACATCACAGTATCTTCTCAAATTTGAAAATCAGAACTGCAGCAAGGCCCAACCATGTCCCTTCCTCTAGATTAACCCTGGAAGAAGGTAGAGCATACCGAGCACTGTCCTTGCCTGTGCAGCACGGGCAGAACAGAGGACAGAGCCACGTAAGACGTAGCATGGCTAGGACTGTAAAGCCACAAAGGAGCAGCAGGAGGACCTTCTGCAGCTGCCTCCTCAGTGGACCTCACCAGCTGTTCCAGGCACTGGCCATCTTCTCCGCCTCAGATCTGCTACACTGGCAGAGGAGGAACACTAAGTCATTAAGCCAGGTGAGAGTGACTTTTCTCTGAAATGCAAAGCCTTTCAACCAGGGAAACGCCACAACCCAGAAGCGTTCCTGATCATCATGTGTCTAACTCATACTTTTTATTTTTTCAACTTGGTCTCTGGGTGAATCACAAAATGCTTCAAACTGTGAGTCATATTAACGTTCATCTAACAAGGAAAAAAAAAAAAGGAAAACAGCCCAAGTTTGCTGTTGATAAAACATTCTGAATAGTGGAGGAAGTCTGAGCCCTGAGAATGGATGATCTAATCATATCCGACTCTGAACTTTTTAATATTAAAAAAAAAATACTCTGCTTATGGTCACAAAATATATTGAGGCATTTTTCTACCACCAGGAATCGGAACTGTGAAACAATCTGATTTTGGTGCTAGGATAAGAGCATTCCATGACACAGGGATAAATTCATGAGTCACAATGCAGAGAATCAGGTAGTTTATAAATTACCAAGAGACTATGATAGGACAACAAACTCCACCTCCCCAAGCCCCACCCCCTTACTATCTAACTGTCAAAGTTATAGCTACAACATTCAAAAGATCACCTGGTTTGAACTTGCTATGATGTCTTGCATTAAGATTTGTGTGTATGCATGGGGAGTGGGGGTATTTTAAATCAAATCGATAACTACAATCTCAATCAGAATCAAATATTTAAAACAAGTCACCCAAATTAATTTCCTCAAAAAAACTCACTTAATAATTTAAATCCCAATTTAAGTTTAAGACTAGTGCCAACAAATGATCCTGGAGAAACTCACTATTCCCTTCACTTGAGGTTCCTCAGAAAGTGGGTCCGACAGCTTCTGTGTGTTCACACACACACACACACACATACACAGGTATCTCGTGGGTGGATGGTGCACAGCAAAACCAATAGTAATTTAAACCTAAGTGCAGCATTACATGAAGCATCAGCCTCAGAAGGATGTGTGGAAGTAAGAGCCACCCTGGCTCAGCCTGCTGAAACTTCAAGCATAATAGGGCAAATTGCAGCAAACCTCTACCATGTCAGTGGGAGGGTATGACCAACCCATAGAGCATTTTAAAAATGGAAATCAAGAGGTATTATAGTCACAGTGCAAAAATTAAACTTCAAGCATGATACATAAACATAGCACCAACTGGGAAAATGCACGCAAAAGGAGGGTAACTGAGGTGTGTGAGTGAAGAGTGCCTACAACCTTACCAAGAAGCTCCAGGAATGCCTAAAAAGCGTTAGTTCCTTTTACTCTGAGATGGAACTAATGACCGAGTTTATCGAAACTAGTGACCTCCACCCCAGGTGTGTCAGTCCTGGCAGTCCACCTCAATGCTGACCCCAAGCATAAACGGCACAGCTTTGGTGATGCTGGCAACACTGCAGGCACAGTCGGGACATGGACAGGAGCAGATGTGCTGCTCTGCCACTCTAAATGAGGCTCAGCTCCATTACAAACCTGCAGCATCTCTAGGTGTACTGCATCTCAGGGTCCTTTTGTTAAAACAACATCAACTGGGCAAGAATTTCCACCACTAGGACTACCTGACAGGAAGGTCTGAGGAAAACTAGGCACCTAGTCACATGCCCTGTCTATAATGATGCTTTAAACTCCAAACTACTCACCCTGCTTTGAGAATGTCTTTAGTGTATATACACGTGTAACAGAAATCCTACCTGCAATCGTTCTATTGCAAGAACCCTAGTGGGCTGTGTCACCCCATCTCATCTAATGCATAATAAGATAAAGGAAAAGCAAAACAATCTGTTCCCAAAAGACCAAAAAGTAAGAAAACTATCAAGTCTCTACTTTTAAGGCAAGAACCCTCTCTATGCAGCACTATGTGGCTTCAGAAAACCTGGGCTTGACTCATCAACAGCCAACACTGACTCAAATCTGTCCCTTACTATTAAGTGCAACAGAGCCCGGGAGTCTGCTCTGCACCCAACAACACTGGTGATTCTGTCACAGCTATTCTGTCCTGCTGGGCTCGACAACTGCTGCAGGATAGGCACTAGTATTGAGGGACTGCAAGGCCAGAGGACTCTACCCAGTTCTAGGGACTTCTAGAGGGTCAAGCTCCATGGCCTCTTAACACCAAGCAAAGTCAACAGAAATTAAATGCAAAAACCAAAACAACAACAACAACAACAACAACAACAACAAAAACGTCAAAATGATTTCAAAACTTGCTAAATGCCGGCATTAAAGCACTCTTGTGATTTAAACAGAGCAGAAGTGGGGAAAGAAGACAAGATTGTGTTTGCGCAAAAAACTAAAACTACAATTAGTTCCAAAAAGTTTATACACATATTAAATGTTTTATTCTGTTATCTATCTTGTTATCAAACTTTAAATTCTGCCTTCAATACTCTGCTCCATGTCAACTCTGAATCATCCTTTGATGTGTTTCTGTGATTTTGGTTCACCGTCTTGCTGTCTGCACATCTGAAGGCTTCAGCTGTTAGGAACCTGAGGCTGGTTAGCTTTGAGGCTGCGGAGGGCTCTTCTTGCTGCAGCAGACTTTGCGATCCTATAACTCCGGCCGACACCTTTAAATTTCCCCTTTCCCACCACTTCCACGGTGACTCTGACCTTCCCATCGTAAGTTCTCTCTGCTGGGCTGCAAAAACCAGACAGTTTGAATTAGAAGTCAGAGGTATTTGTTATTATCGTCAGTCAGCACCTCTAGCCCTCTCGGGCTGAGCGTCCCTCCTATAAGCTGACTGTACACCAGGCTTACTGCACAATCAACACAGGCTCTTTCCTCCTTCATTCAGCTTTGCTTTAGAAAAAAAAAAAAAAAAAAAAAAAAGGAAAAGCGCGGCCAATCAGACCAAAACTGGAAACTGGGTCATACAGACGTTCTCGGAGTCAGTAGTTATGGTTTCTTAAGAACTCTCATTTTTAGCTACATTAGTTTTTCAGGCACATTTCCTTCTTACCTAAACTTGGCAGTTTCTGGTTCCATCTCAAGCAATTCTCTCACTGGAGAACGGGGCACGTTTGCAGAAAATTTTTCTATAATCAAAATGAAAGATTTTGTGACCAAAGACCCTATAATAAGCATTTTAAACAATGTTTCCATATACTCCAAGGGAAAAGAGCCAGCACTGTACCTATTAGCGGCCGCATCATTGGGTAGTACACCTGCCAGACAACCTCCAGAGACATCCCACTGTCCATATAAATGGCACCAGCGAGAGACTCAAAAATGTCCCCCATGGCCTTGGGGACTTCGATATCTTCTTCTTTCTCCTCATCCTCCTCGGATCTCCTAAGCTATTGAAGAGAAGAAACTTGTCAGGAAAAAAGGCTCACTGGTTTTTCTCGGCTGACTTCTGATATTTAACAAGAGGAGCCAGGACCTATGGCATACCTACTTCATGGCAGTGGGAAACCCCAAACCACCTTATCAAAAAGAAAGGAAGGGAGGGAGGGAGGGAGGGAGGGAGGGAGGGAGGGAGGGAGGGAGGGAGGGAGGGAAAGAAAAAAGAAAAAAAAGAAAGAAAAGTGACAGGTAACTGATGTCCAGCAAAGAAAAAAAACACTTCTAAATTAAAACAGAATTTAAGTTTAACACAGAACTAGAAGTTAATTGTTTTAAAATCATCTGTAACCAAACAACTGCCTTTATTAGAACACCTTTCTCTGAGTGTCCAGCAGGGGCAACAGTGCAGGGAGGAGGGTAGAGACTGCTGCTTTGGGAGCAGAGAAATCCTTTCTGAAGCCCTTCCCTCCAGGTTCCCTGTCACAAAAACATGAACATACACTCACTATGGTAGCAGAGCTGACACAACATATACTTGGATCAGCGGACCAAAACCTTCCCTATGTAAAGGCCACAATGTAACTAACTGAATCTACAAGCCCGAGAATCATACTCCTACTCAAAATGTCTTAACTAACACTACTTGACTGGCCCATCAAAAAGATTATTTAAAGAAAGCAGCCATCTCAAGTTGAGTGTACCTCAAGTCATGATGCCAGTTGGTACTCAGAGCTGCATAGCACATCAAGTGAAAGGTAAGATTCAGTGTGCAGTATACCAGCATCTCCACGTGCATTAAGTCTGGACACATTAGCAATGGCATATCGCCAAATGGTAAAGCTGACTATACGAGGACCACATAATTTTATTTTTCTTTTCTTTCTTTTTTTTTTGTTTACTTGTATTTTCTAAGAATAATAGCAAAGCACAAATTATTGTGGAAGAAAAGAAAAACGGAAAATTTCAATTTGTATACAAATTATTGAATATATTCAAAAGCTGGCTTCTCTAAGATGCCCACTACTCATATCCCATGGCTCTGGGATATAAAGAAAATTTCAGACTGGCAGGTTTAATTCTCTCTCTTTACAGCTAAGAAAGCTAAGGCCCAGAAAGATAAAGACTTCTTTAAGAAAAAAACAACTCAGTGAGGAAAGCCAGATGCTATGTGTGTCAAGCATTGCTACTTCTACACATGTTGATACAAAGGGCTGTAAAAGAATGAAGAAAAACTAACAGAGCCAATACACCTCACTGGCATCAAAACAGAACCTGAATTTTAGTAAAGTCCTTAAACTTAAAGCTTAAGTAACTGTAAAGAATTTAACTAGAAATGTACATGGATGGTTCCTCTCATCACCTCACTACTGCCTGAGTTCTGGAAGGGACTTCAAACAGAGGCAAAGTGGGGAGCATAAGCCCTGCCCTGACTGCGAGGTTTTTAGCCCTAGACTCTCTATGTTCCCACAGAAAGCTCAGAAACTCTACTCTCCAACAGTTTGGGGCAATTGCAAAAGATGTAGTAAAACTTAAAGTCAAAACAGTAAGCTGAGAATAAAACCCTGGACTAGAATGAAGTTCCTTGGCCACCGGGTGCAGAGGGGAACGAGCAGCTGTGCAGTATCCTTGCCTACAGAGCCAGAGCAGTGCAGCATGCACACATTTGAGCAAGGCAGCACTGATATCCCAGCGCCCAAAGTTTACAAACAAGAGGTGCCATTTCAAACAATGTGAAGTGTATATTTGTGAGGCTTACCTGGGAGGCTACCAAATATTCCTGACCCATTTAGAAAAGACAGGATCATCCTGTGATGTCAGAGAAGCGAAAGCCACTTTGGGGCCTGGGAGAAGGTGCACTTCTACAACTTTCTATGCCTGTCGTAGGAGCCTCACTCAAGTGTAACTGAGACCCAGGCTCCTTTCCTGAATGACCACTTGGTCCATGGAGTGGGCAGCCATGTCTCAAAGGCCTGAGTGAGGCAAGTCATTCTCAGTTCTGCTTGGAGATCACACAGCATCTGGGCAACCTGGCCCTGGCCTGTAACTATCCCTCTGGACAGCCATGAATCAGAGCTCAAACTGCCCAAACTCAAAGTTGGCTGCTTCCCTCAGCACTGAGTTCACAGTTTAAACAGCACTAACCTCAGAGTCCATCCCTTGCATCTCGTTCTTCTCAAGTTGAAACTGCACAAAGTCGTCAATGACATGGAAGAGCTCGGGAGAGACAGCTTTAAAGTACTTGTGGTAGTCATACTTCACAGCCAATGAAGCAAAGATGGTGTTGTTGACCAGGGCAGAGCGCAGGTCAGTCAGGACCCCTGGGGAATGCTGCCGTGGGTCTTCATAAAGGTGCTTGGTTATGAGGTAGTCCAAAATCGCATCTCCCAGGAATTCTAAGCGCTGGTAACAATCTGCGCAGAGATCCAAAGTGCAACGGTGAGCCTGCATGAGCACATGCACTTTCTGCATACTCTGCGTGGGAGCAGATGAAAAAGTTGCAGTCCCAGACTCCTTTTGAGACTTCTACCGAGAAACATTTTCATTTACCTTCCTCAATGAAAGTATTGGACACATACTCACTAATGCACTCTGAAGTCGAGTTTTAAAGGCAACTGAAAGCATATTTCTTATATAAAAGTTGGGTCATATAATCTTCAAGTGCTCAAATATTATGCTTGTTTTGGAGGGGGAAAAGACACTTTGTAGACACAATCAGTCATAGCACCTTTCTCCTTGGGCACTATATTAGCCAGACAGGCACTGGGCATCACTCCTGAGTCTCTAACATGGTGGCGTCTCAGTAAAGCCACACATGGCATAGTAACTTCTGGGCATTGCCATTGAGGCAGTGTGTCATCCACACTCTGCAATGTGTGCTAAGTGTCTAATTTCTTGGCATTTCAGGGTTATATGGCACATGAAAGAACAACAGGGAAACATGACTCTTCAACTCTAACTAGACATACTAAACCTGACACAAGGGACTCAGAAAGAAGAACTGCGTACCGGAGCAAAACCCCTAAACAAAAAGGGTTGCTTGTCAAACTGAAAAAGCTACCAGTGCTGACCAGCGCCCCGATTTCCTCAGAGCCATTAAAAGAATCCACTGAGCTGAGAAAACGAGGCTGGGACAGAGTGACCTGTTCCAGAGCACCTACCGTGTTGGAATTCAGGACTCACAATTTCCATCAAAGTATTTTCCTCTCCACATAGAAAAGTAGCTTTATTTTAGAACTCCACTTTCAGGGTTTATTTTTTTTTTGTAAATAGTCTTAACTACAGAGTTTTTACTATCCAAACTATAAGCTCTTTATTTTGCTTTAATATATTTGATAATCTTACACAAAAGGCAAAAGAAAAACTTTATCTGGTCCACAAGCTGAAGCAAACTGGTTCTGGGGACTTACTCTCTTAGATATTAGCAAACTACCAAATAAAAGAGGTAACCACAGCACAGTGGGAAATAACGAGTTCTTCCTATAGGGTAGTTCTATTTAATCTTCTCATCTTTAGATTTAAAAAGGCTAGAAAAGAGGAGCCTTTTTGTCTAGGAACAACAAAAAGATGTGGAAATAGATCTTGACTATATAAATAAATCAAGAAGTTAAAGCAGCAATGAATAAGCCCAAGAAAGGTACTTAGGTAGGAAAAGATGGGAAACAGCAAAATCCCGGGCTTCAGCTTCTAAGCATGCAGCATGTGAGACCCCATGTGTGAGAAGATATAGTGCCCCACTCCAACTGTCACAGTCACCAAGCATTCCTACTCCCCAGAGACGGGAAACATAAAGAGCTCTGTTTATGTGACTTCCTCCCCCAGCCATGCATACTGAGCGCTAAGACTGTGCATGCATATATCTTATTTGTGCACGGCCAGAACAATGCACCACACACAAAGTCTCCTTACCAGTGATAGTGTTGTAGTGGTAGGAGGCATGTGTAAAAGCCTGCAGAAGGTAAGCCTTATTCTTGAATCTGTAGTTGATTTTCTTCTCAAAATTTTCAAACCCAGAAATCAGGTGGTTCAGGGTTTTCTCTGCATCTGGATGGTCAAACATACACCTTGGTGGGATCTTCAGGCAGCCGTACTCCAAGTCTTTCCCTGCAGAGGAGCGTGGGCTGGCTGCAGCGGCAGCACAGCTCCCTGAAAGGCTCTTTTGTTGGCTGCTGAAGTTCTCCTGAGCAGGGTACAGGGCCTTTTCCCGGCTGGTCCTTTTGATGACTGGGAGTACCTTCAGTCCCAGTGAACAGAGGAAAAGCTGAGCAGCCCTCTCGCCACAGCTGGTTAAATAACAGCCCAGCAGGGCCTCCACACAATCTGCTATGCTTTTGTCAGCAATGCACTGCTCCGTGTGCAAGTCGTAAGAAATGGACTGCTTCCCTGTGTCAACGCCACAGTTTTCTTCTGATGGATTCCAGAAACCTACCACAAAGTCATCCTCTTCAACAGCTTTGCTAGGATCCAGATAGCACATTGCATCCCAAGAGCTGTAGTCAAAATCCTCAAGGTCTGAGGAAAACGGCATACTGCCTAAGGAGGACTTTTTGGGCATTTTCCATTCATAAGCAGAATCAGAGGTTGTAAAAGGAGAAAGAGAAATTTTCTTCACAAAGGCTCCTGACCCCATTAACATGCTGTCTATAAACTGTATGTGCTCCTGATCATACTCCAGGAAGTCGTCTTCATATTCAGCCTCCTCCTTGGGAGCCCTCCACGTCAGGTCCTCCTCCTCACAGTCCTCACCTAGTTTGCCATTAGCCAGCAAACAGTCTTTTGTCTGAAACGGGGAACAGGAAAGGAGGAGAGAAAGAGCTGCTGTTTTTTAAAAGGTTTTGAAACTCAATAAAAGCAGGGTTATGGATAATTTCAAATGACAACCACAAATACTAAAAGGCAACTTTAAAAAATCATGGCCATTTGTTTTCAATTAACATAAAATAAGTTATTTAATCATATAAACAAAGTCAAACATGCTCTTTGGATGTTCATTTTCTAAGTTATAAAATGACCTTTATCCAGTATAAATCTGTAAGTGAAGAATTCTGAACATGGATAAAGTTAAAATTGTGTCCACCATGCAAAAATGTCAACTGAGTAGCCTAACTCTGCAAGGACAGAGCCCTTGTGTTTCAATCAGAGGCCTTCCACTTAGTTGACAGAGTCTGAAAATATGGTAGGTAGCCTTTCAAACCAACAAAATTAAATTCCAGATGTAGAAAGAGTATTATCTTTTCAACAATGAGCATAATAAAAAAACAGACAAAATTATTTTTTAAAACCTTTACCATTAAAAACTGTAGGAGGGTATGTAATATTTTTTTCCTCTACTTCCACTTCAAATCAAGAAAACATTTGCTACAATATAAAATTAAACTGCTTTGTTTAAAAATAAAAATAAATGGGACCACACAAAGAGGGGATAAATTTGTGAAATTATTTTTTACCCTCTATTCTGAGCTGTGGTACTAAGGCCAACAGATCATAGAGCAGACTGACAAAATAGAAGAAAATTTAGGCTAACATGAAACATAACAATCCCATTTCTGTCAAAAAAATCTTTGCTAATTCCAATTTCTTTGGCAAAAGCTTATTTGTGAATGACAACCTTAATAATGGCCTACAATTCAGCAGTGATGTAACCTTTTGGCAACACTAAAAAGATACCCAATTTCTGCTGTACGATAAACACCAACTCTCGCAGGAAGAGCCACCACCACTTTACTTGGGGGCAAACACGGAACAATAAGCTTCAACTTTGATTGGGACAATTTTCCAGAGTATTCTGACAAAACACTTTCAAACTATTTCCCAAGTGTTTTTAAAAGAGGCATATATTTTATTTTAAACCAGACTCAAGATATAGAAACTCTGTATTTGCCTGAAAAAATAAAATGACAGGGAATCTAGCCCTGTAATCACATACAGTCCACTGCTTTAAAAAATACACCAAAAATCCTTTTGAAAAATAAAGAACAGCAAACAAACTATCAACAGGACTGAAGGGATGGCTCAGAGATTAAGAACACTGGTTACGCCGGGCGGTGGTGGCACACGCCTTTAATCCCAACACTCGGGAGGCAGAGGCAGGCGGATCTCTGTGAGTTCGAGACCAGCCTGGTCTACAAGAGCTAGTTCCAGGACAGGCTCCAAAACCACAGAGAAACCCTGTCTCGAAAAAACAAAAAAAAAAAAACAAAAAAAAACAAAAACAAAAAACAAACAAACAAACAAAAAAACACTGGTTACTCTTCCAGAGGACCTGGGTGCCAACACGGCAGTTCATAACTATTTGTAACTCCAGCTCCAGGTGATCAACACCCTCTTCTGGCTTCCACAGTATCAGCATCTACTAGATGCATACACATACATGAAGGCAAAACACTCAGTCAGTGGCAAACCTCAGCAAACTACCTGTCAGAACCTTTCTACTTCTCCAAGACAAAATGAGAGGCTTTGACTATATTTTGCTTCTGTTTTGTTTGTGATAGGATTTCACTATGTAGCCTCGAGTGGTTTGGAATTCACACTGGGCTGGGCTCAAACTCAGAGATCCACCTGCCTCTGCATCCCAAGTGGAAAAAAAGTACATACTACTACATAAGCTTTATTATTTGTATCATATGACAAAATGGGCCAAATTTAAATTATTCAGTTTGAGATTTTCGATTGCAAAGTTTCTCTGTAAACTGTTGTGTTTCTGTAACATGGTGGACTGTCTTTTGTACCCCTGGCACCATGTACTCTTCATCCTCACAAAGAGGGGGTATACTTAAGATGAAAGCCTGAGCCATATTGTTAGTGTACACCAAGACCCAACATGCTGAGTCAGCAGAAAAGACCAGGACCCAGAAGTCCATGTTGTAGCATGTAACTTAGGAAAGCCCTGATGTGTCCCTGTTACCTGAAGAGTCAAATACATGGACAGAAAAGGCCTGTTGACTGTTTTGTTTTTTCTTTCAGAAATGAGGCATTTTTTTCCTAAGGTTCAAAATCAATACATTTTTCTACTAAGGTATATGTGTATATACATAAATATGTATATAAGTGTATGTGTATTTATTCTAAATTAGTAACAAATGTCATCCTCTGACCTAACTTGAATTAAAATATTCTCTTAATGCTTTTACAGCTAAGTTGCATTTCTGTGATAAGTCAAATCCTACTTGAGTTATAAATACACTCAGTAAACAGGCCTACATCAGAACAGCCTCCCAGAACATGCCACTACAGATGCTTAGGACTTATTGGGATAAAAATGCACCAAACAAGACATGGAGATGCTGCTATTTAGAAACCTGTAAAAGAAATGGTGTTATCATTATCAGCCTGAAGTAAAAATGAAGTAACAGGAGTACATTTATCATCAATACAAAATAAATCTGGCAAGCAGAGTTGCCTGAACAGATGGTAACTTCAAAGATGTATAAGACAATTCTTTCCCAGTCACAAGTCCAGGGCACAGAGTCCTCCCAGCTGCCCCCTGGTGGCCTTTGGGACAAGACAAAGGAAGTTGCAGCTGCTAAAGAGATGAGTCTTAAGTCTCTGGCAAGACAAATTATTCACAGTACTTCAGCCTTCCCATATGGTGATCTGGTGTCCAGTCTGCAAGAGGAAACAGTGCCAAGCTAGCCCCGCACTGCACAAGCTATTCTGCGCTGAAGTGAACTCTTCCAGACACAGCCTGCAGGTTACAGGTCATTGTGAAGTCACTTCAACAAATATGGAGACACTGTAACATGAGAGTACAGGGAACCTGAGAGGGTTCTGATTTTATTTTTAAGTGGAAACATAAAAAAATTTTATCCCTTTGGAAAAGGTAATAGAAATTACACTCCACTAAAATCAACACTATTTCTAAAGTCACAGTCAGTCTACCAACACATAAAATACCTACTACCTTGCAAAGTGCAGCAGTAGAAGGAAACAACAAAAACGTCTTCAGTACAGAAACAAAAAAGCTCCTTATTGAGTGCTTACCATTTCATCCTTTTCCCATTTATCTGCGTTACTTTTGTCTTGATTTACCACATAACCAGGAGGAAGCCAATTCACAGGAGGATCAAATATCGACACTACCATGCGGCTGGGCAGCCCCTTCTTCTTGCCAAGGCGATACAGGTTACAGTTGCTGACCTTCGGTAAAAAAGAGTCACAAATGTTTACCCATAAATGGCCTTGACTGGAAAACACGCATACCATTACATTTTATGCTTATGTTCCTTGTAATGTACAACTGGTCACCAAATAAAAGTGTTACTACCTATTTATAACAACAACTTGAAATTTTCAAGAATTGGATATCCTTTGGTGTCATCAAATAAATATTCAATACAAAATAGAGTCACAAAAATCTAATGTATACAAATTCCCTTCCTTATAAACAAGTCAAAAAAAGTTCAATCTCAAAGTTTTAAAGCCCAGATTGATAATATGAAATGCAAGATGGTAAGTGGAATTGAGAGCAGAAGATGTCAACACATTATAACTCAAGATGTCATGCTATTCTTAATGAGTAAAGGGAAGGATATCATGTTAAAACATGAGAACTGTCACTGCACAAAACAACTTTATATCTCTGGAATCTAAGCACCAGTACAACTCCAAACCAAACATTCTCAAATACTGTTCTTTTGTTATGGGTAGCATTTCAAGACACTAGAGTAAAAGGCACTAAAGAACATTTGTTGTACAGTACATCATTGAGGCAGCTTTATTATCCTTCCTCAAGTCCACTTGCTTTTTCTAATGGCTCTACCACATCCCTAATTTACTTAAAACATGACATTTTTGTCTAGTTTTCACTTGGAGACTAGGGTCATTCAATCTCATTTCCAGTCTCTAAAAACATATTGGAACACTCTAAGAGCCCTATCCATATAACTCAAGTACTACTTAGCCAGCATGTACCCACAATTAGCACTGGCTAGACAGTCTTGTAGAAAGCAGGCAAAGCAACAGAGAAGCAGTCCTTGACATGCATACAGACTGGCACACAGCTCTACCAGGGAACATCACTGCCAAAGCACTTACCAGCTGTCTATAAAGGAGCCAACAGACATAAATGCTGGTTTTCTTTTCCATGCTATACAAGACCACCCCAAGAGGAGGAGGGCAATAAGGGCCCAGAGAGGGAAAACATTCCAAGTCAGAAGAAATGCTCAGTGGATGTTAAAGATATAACTAAGGACCTGATGTGAGGCAAAATTCAAGACAGAACAGCAGGTGGCAATGAGGAAGATCACAGGAAGCTTGAGCAAGGACACAGGCTGTGCAGTGAACATGAGGCTTGTCTTAAGAACGGCAAGCAAGAGCCTGGTCAGGTTCTGTCTGCAAGAGCATCCTGAACACCTTAACACCATGCAGAGGAAACAATAATTACTTCTGCAAGAAATTAGGTCAAAGGGCTCCGAACAGATGAATGGATAAAGTTTTGAAAGGTTAAAGTAGTTTCTTTCTTGCTTAATAGGGTCTAGTATTCTTACTTCAAATGCCTTTATAACTGTGATCTTCCTGTAAGCAGCCGAGAGCTTCAGGACTCAATTCTAGTTTCTAAGCATTCTTCCAGTCCCTGTACCATAAGGTCTAATGCCTAAGTCTGCCTGATGCCTCACTCTGTCTTTCTCACAACACCTGACAATGCCACTATCTACTATCTGCAAGCTGTCACAGTTGCCAGAGCATTGCATTCATGGTCTGTCTTAAGCTCACTAGGAAGGCCCCTAGTATGTGCCACTAGTCTCAGAAATACTCCTAAATATCCGGGACTAGTGAATAACTTCACACAAGCTAATGCCACAATCTGGACATCAGTTTCTTCATCTGCAAAATGGTGGCACATCTAACTGCAAGAGAACTGCAGAGATTAAGTGTTGCTTGTAAGATATCCAAATGTCTGGTGCTCAGAGCAAGCTGCCATAACTGTGACAGGCAAGGAGGTCCATTGCTATACTGTTAGTTCAATCCCAGGTCTGCTCCCTACTGCAACATGCTCTTGGATACATTAGCCTCTCCAGCCTCACTGTCCTTCTTGCCTATCAAAAGGGGATATAAAAATATGCAGTTTTCAACCAAGCAGTGGTGGTACACACTTTTAATTCCGGCACCTGGGAGGCAGAGGCAGGCAGATCTCTGTGAGTTCAAGGCTAGCCTGGTCTTCAGAGCAAGTTCCAGGACAGGCTGCAAAGCTACAGAGAAACCCTGTCTCAAAAAAAACAAAACAAAGCAAAACAAAAGCAAACAAAATCATGCACTTCTCTAGGTTATAAGAAAAACTTAAACTAATTAGAGAAATTAGCATTTCTCTCTCTACCCTTACGTTTTCTCTTAGGAGCTAGAATAGTCTGGTACCATAAGCAGGTTGTTGGACTCAAATAATTATCTCTGAAATTACCACTCACCGCAATCCTGTTCTTTCAGCCATTTCTGTTCTGTTCTGCTTTTGGCTTGGCTGTGTGCTTCAGCCCACACTACAGCCTGTACCACATTAGTCTCTTTCATGATCCCTGTGCTAATAGTATTGTCTCCTTGCTCAAACTTCCTCAAGTACCCACAGCAAACACACCATGCACAAGCTCCTGACATAAAGTTGGGCCTCTTCTCACACCTGCCCTCAGCTACTTTCCCAATCCCCACTGTTACTGCCTTTCTTTACTGAGTGCTCCCACACTCTACAGATGCAGCTTTGCTTTATACTATAAGGTTTCCCACGAGCACCTTCTCTGACTCACAAGTGACATTCCATCCTACTTAATGTTAGGTCATTAACAGCTTTGTAAATTGTCAAAGTTTTGCTTTATATTATATGACCATTGAAAGATTTTAGCTTAATTACCATTTTTTTACACTAAGCTTATGAACTAAGGCTGAAAATCTATCTCAATGGGTAAAGTGCAAGCATGAACACCTGAGTTAAATCCCTGGCACCAACATACAAGTCAAGCACAGTGGTGCTATCTTACCCCGGTGCAGGTGCGGGTAGTGGCAACCACACAAGGCGGGCAGAACCCAAGGGCTTATTGGCTAATTTAGCTGAATCAGTGAGCTCCAAGTTCTGTGAGAGACCCCGCCTCAAAAAATAAGGTGCTCACTTATTGACACCCGAGACAGACCTGCAGCCTGAACAGATACATAGGTGAGCATACGTGTATGCTTATGCACACATGTACAAACAGGGAAATAAAAAGAACTTACTCTTTCTCAGGATTGTGGAAAAACTGCTCAAGACTAGGGGGTCCCCCTATCTACACTGGCTAAAGCCTAATGTTCTTTCCTTGCCTGGCTACCTGAAACTTGGAAGAAATGCAACTCCTGGAATGACTTTACATTACTCACATGCACAAAGCACTCTCATAACAAAAGGCTTCAGTTGAAGCTGAAGCACAAGCCCCTGAACAGTAACTCTGCCTATTTCTACCTGCCCCCTACCCCGACAAGGATCTAAGAGTTCTACCCATTTGCACAGAGGTTTATTTAACCTGAACTTCTATCAAATGAGAAGGTTATCAGCCAGCTCCACAGCCTGGGTGTATACAGCCATCATGCCACTTACTGGGCAATGCCCCATGGGCATTGGCCCTAATATACTAGAGCAAGCAGCAGCTGCACTGACTTATGGAGAAATCTCTACGGGTAACTTGCCCCATTTTCAGGCACACTGAAGAAGCAACAGCTCAGAGTAAGAACCGTTCCTTACCTTTTTGCTTCTCATATATGAAAGGCGGCCCTCATGAGCATCAGGGTAAGTGCAAAAGAGATATGTGGTGATAGCATGCTTTAAAAAGGAGTCGCCAAGCATCTCAAGCCGCTCCAGGTTAAACCCATCACTAGCATTTGACAGTGTCAAAGCCTGAAGAATTAGTCCAGGATTGGGACCAAGAGTCCTTGAGGAGTACCCAACAGAAGGGCTCTGCTCAGAGTCCATCCTGTCCTTGAATGCATTAACAGCATTCATCATGGCAGGCATCGTGGACACCGCGGGGCTTCCATCTGAGGTAGATGTGTTAGCGTTTCCATCAAGGTATTTATTACTCAGAGTACATTCATTGCTGGGCTTGGGCTGGTTCTCATAATTGTATAAATTCTGAATGGAATATGAGGTAGTTGGTTGTACAGGTATTTCCTGCTTGAAGTAATTCAGCTGATTTCCTTGGCAAAAGTCTCTGTTAACTAAATCATAACTGCCATTGGCAAGATTTTTGTTGTAAGTAAGACCATTAATTGCTGTAAGATCTGTTGAAACTTCAATCTGGAGCTTCCCAGGTGACTCAGCAGGTAGCCTTCTGCAGTTCACAGACATTTGGTCATGGTTTTCTAAGGAGGTTCTAGTAGCACCTTGATGTGCAGCATTTTCAGGGACTATAATTGTGCTGTGCTTACAGTAATTATCATTTTCAGCCAACGAGGAGTTACAGGTTGAGATGAAAGACTTGCTATCAATAGATTTTTTCCACCCGAAGTCTAAGTTAGGGTATCTGTAAAGACATTTTTATAACTTTCTATTGATTCTTCAGAAGGGTAAGTTCAGAACAGCAGCATTTTGGGTTAAAAACAAAGCAACTCTTAAAGTCCTCCTACTTAAGAAGAATAACACATTTTCAAGCTTAAATGAATACAACTAGGGATTATACACACATTCAACTATAATGCAGAACAGTTTGCTCTTTGACCTCTGCTTATGCAGTAGGGGGGACTGAGAGAATCCAAGATGGAGGTTCCTGCAGAACCTGGAACCACAGACTTTGTGAGTAGAACCTCAAGCTTTCTGCTTAACCAAGTGAGCAGCTTCAAGCAACTTACAAATTCTGTCTCGGCCTCAACTTCTGCACTTGGAAATGTGGCCAATACATCCTACTCAGGACAGGCCACAGAATACAATGAGTTGGTCATGCTGTTTAAACTAGTGTCTCATACTGAACCAATTACTCAGCTATTATAATGTGACTATTATGTTTAAGTTCTTTCAATCCCAAAATTAATTTGAGTGATTAAGTCAAAAATTTCTTTGGTATACAGAACTTTACTAGTAGGGAAGAAATGATAAAGATAAGAACAAATGAAAGCTGCTGCTTTCTTATATATAACTCATTTTTGAGAAGACTACTTTCACCCTCATTTCAACATTACTACGAAAGAAGAAATGTTTGCTGTTTCAGGAGCTTGCCTCTCTCTAACTTGACAAGAACAAAAGGTTTAGTGACCCAGGGAACAAACAATATAGTTAATTTTCATGTTTTAAGTGTCCACATTTACATTTCATCTTTTACTAAAATACAATTTTAACTTAATTCTATTTTGTTGCAAATTAAATTTCTGGCCAGTAACACAGACATACCTAAAATCTGCAGGAAGTGATCTTACTCCCACACCAGCATCGCTGGCTGTCTGAGCTCTTAGCTCCTCTGCAGTCAAAAGGCAGTGAAGGCGATAAAGAATGCTGGGGAGACAAACCGCTTTTCTCCACAGTGATGCTGGAATTGGATGTATAGCACAGAGTTCTGGAACTAGTATCTTAAGAGTAAAGAAGAACACAGGCTGATAAATATAAAGCACATACAAATAATAAAAGATCAATTTCACTAAGGGATAATGATAAGAATCATAAATGTTATTAATATCAAACTTTTAAAAATAATCCTTTAACCCTAAATTGGATTTATGAGGATGGCTCCATGATGCATCAATGGACCATGGTTAACAGCAAAACTCAATCTTACCAACAAAGGCATTCAAAATAAATTCAGTACCCATGATGACCTCCCAGAAATTCACACGTCATTGTCATCTTGGTAATATATTATAGAGATGTTAAAATACGTCATGTTTGAGCACATTGTATTTATGTGTGTGTACATATAAGTATATGTACATATATATGTTTGCAACAATAACAAATGAAAAAAGAGAACATGAATTTGAAAGAGTAAGGAGGGGCATATGGGAATGTTTAAAAGGAGAAAAGAAGTGGTAAATGATGCAATTATAATTACAAAAAATAAAAGAACCATTTTAGAGAACATTTGGTTGTGCTAGTAGCAACTAATTTACCTGTTTGTTCTGCAGACTTTCCCATTTGGCTTTCCTCTTTTCAGCACTGCTTAGAGGAAGTGCTTTCCCCTTCTGATTCAAATGCCGAGGTGTCAAAAGGTTAAGTCTATAAAAATTTCAGAGCAATTTTATCAAACAAGCAAACAACAATACACCCTCACAGTGGCTGGACTCCAGCTTTGGTATCCCTACAAGCTTCCTAAGGAGTTCAGTCAGCACAGTCCTCTACAACCCGGTCAAGTTTTTGTGCAAAGGATTTCTTGATTTCAAAGTCCATGAGTAGGCAGAGGCACTCTGACCCCTAGAAAGCAACCCCATACACAACCTAATGTCATTTCTGCAGCTTTTACCTGGAAGATGTGTGGTCGACATCCAGCAGTGGCTGGTTGAGATTGGTCAGGTCAAGATTGTACTTTGTTTTATAATATTCTGCAAAAGTTTCATATTCAGGGGAAGGAAATTTACTGAGTGGGGTAAGATCAGTGTACACATCAGCTACGTAAAATCGATGAGGCTGATCAAAATTGCGGTATCTAAAAATAAAGAAAATCAAGTTGTCTTTTTGTGTACATCAACTATCCTCAAAGCACAAATGGATTAATGTGGAAACATCTATCACCATTAAGAATTCAAATGGCTAAATATAAATAACATTAGTGAAAATTAAAATACCAAAAATATATTTCAAGAGGTTGAGAATAAAAAATTTTATTTCTATTAAGTAAATAAAACAGGTTCTTCACTTTCCCCGTTTGTTCTTCTAAATTTCTTTCCTTTGATAATATGAAAAGCTAATGCCTCCTTCAAGTATGTTTCAACAATCAAGAAAACTTAGCAGTGGGGGGAGGGGGAGAGGGGCGGGAGGAGGGGGAGGGAAATGGGAGGCTGGGAGGAGGNGGCGGAAAATTTTTTTTCAATAAAAATAAAATAAATAAAATAAAAAAGATTAAAAAGAAAACTTAGCAACACCCTACAGAGTAAATCCTTTGTAAATATAAGGCATCCAATACACAAGATGTATTACATTACCTATGATAGTGATAGTCCAGTGAAATCTTTAAAATGTGACTTTCAGATTGGAGGGGGGGGAATAAAGTAAAGGCAGAGGTCATGAATATTTATGAATGTAAGTCAGAGTCAATCAACCAGCACTCCAATTCTTTTAAAGTATCTGGATTTAATTTATTGCCTCAAGACTTCCATTCCCTATAATTTTGCAAAGTAAGAATGAGTGCTCTTCCCACCGTCCAGAGGCTTACTAACAATAATCCTCTTGGAACGCCTGAGGCGCAAGCACTGTTCGCAATGAACTTCTTTCTCTCATAAGACTTTGGAATTAAAGGGATAAAGATTATATTTAAAAGGCTATCAATATTATTTACATAAGAAATACTTTTCACAAAGTAAATCCTTTCACATGCGAAGTTTGAGCTTTTGCTTGACCGAAGTGAACGTGAGAGATGTCACTGCTCACATCCACAGCACGTGAACAAGCAAACCCTTTTGCAGCAAGTACTGCTATTTTCCTTCTGAAACACCTACCTTGGAATGATAACTGCATCTTGGTAATCTTCTAACTTAAAAACAAACGGTGTTTCTTTTGAGTACTTGGTGCTGGGAATGCCTATACGAGCTTCAGACTTCTCAATATCCTCCATGAATGTAAAGTCAATGTCCAGAGTGCTAGAGCCATTAACTTAAAAGAAGAAAGACTCTTTAGTGTGGTAAATATAACACAGATGAGAGTCCTATGTAAGGTAAACTACCATGAGTCTCAAGCTGTCCATGTAAATAATATCCACAGGATACACAATAAGTCAGTTACCAGCAAAACTCTCACCATCCAGCTACAATGAACCAACACAGAAAAGTGGGTTCCTTCTTACCAACATTAAGAGGTAGAACACAGTATGCTGACTCAGCGCCTGTAGGTTTAAACTCTAGGGCGGGTTTTTCCAGGCGAAGAATATGTGAGAATATATACTGGTGGAGTCTTGTAATCAGCTCAAGCATTTGTTGAGACAATGTGAAACCAGACTTCTTCAGCTCAATGGATATGGTGACTTCTCCAGAGCGTGTATACACAGGAAAGTGAGGAATCTTAGCAAAAAGAAAAGCAAAGCATCCTTTAGTCAAGAGGTTTACTGTGTTAGTTTACCCAATCTCTGAGTTCTAAGTGGCATTTTCAACAACATGGTGAAGGGTCTACCTGAGGTATGGGTTTGGCGGTCAGGATTCCAAAGCATCTTGTGGTGTCCTCTGGGGGGTAGAGCTTCCGTCGCCTGAAGTTGAGTTCATCAGGGAGGGGGGTAGTTAAGACCATCCCTATCACATACAGGTAACAAGGCTGATCAGGTTTGGGGTAACTCTCCCTCAAGCACTCTGGAATCTAGAATTGGATAGAATTAAGCATCAAGTTCAAGTACAAATACCCATTGTTCTACATGTTGGCAAGAAATTTATTTCTGGCTTAGGATTTTAGAAAAGCTCAGAAGGTACTCTGATGTGAGATTCCCCTCTGTATGCTATGAATATGTTTTATTACCACTGGTTAATAAAGAAGCTGCTTTGGTCAATTATGACAGGGCAGAATATAATTAGGCGGGATATCCAAACAGAGAGAGGAAGAATCTTTCAGAAGGCTAAGTTAGGCAGACACCATGTAGCTGCCAAAGGAGGAAGATGCCAGAACCTTACAGGAAAGCCATAGCCTTGTGGCAATACATAGATTAATAAAAACGGGTTAATTTAAGATATAATAGTTAATAAGAAGCCTGAGCTAATAGATCAAAGAATATGTAATTAATATTAAGCCTCAGGATGGTTATTTCCTAAGTGGCTTCGGGAACAGGTGGACAGAGAAAACCTGGTCAAGGGTGACCAGTAGGCCGGAGAATATTTGTAGCTACGGTACTAAATGTTAAGATTTCTGGGAAGGGGCTGGAGAAATGGCTCAATGGTTAAGAACACTGGCTGCTCTTACAGAGGACCTGAGTTCAATTCCAAGTACCTACATGGTGTCTCACAACCATCTGTAATGAGACCTGGCACCCTCTTCTGGCCTGCAGGTATACATGCAGACAGAAGACTGTATACATAATAAATAAATAAATCTTTATATATAAAAAAAAGATTTCTGGTAGGTCAATATTTGTCAGGTCTGAGCTTCACATTGGCCTAAGTTTACCTATGTTATAATACACTGCTCATGCCATGCATGCTTGTGGTGATCAGAGAACAGCTTGTCAGAGCCAGTTCTCTTCTACTGTGTAGGATCAGGCCTGCTGAGCCAGCTCTACTACTTTAGCATAATTTTAACAGCTCTCATTATGAGAATGAATCATGGTAAAATTACATCAGATTTTCTAAGCTTTCGATATTAACAAGACTCATAGATTAGTGTCTACAGCTCTGAGGTTCACTGGCACACTGCAATGGTGATTCACAGTTACACCTGTTATGCACTGGCTAAGAGACAGTTCTGATTATCTAAGAAGACAAAATGGGTTGGTCAAGGAGGCGAGATAGACACCATGTGTCTCAAGAGACAGCACCAGTAGTATTTATTACAATAAATTTGTTCAACAGGAAAAGTGAATACAAAGGGCAAAAAAACTACACAAAAATAGATAACAGGATTTGAAAAGAAGTGTGACTTTTAAATATTGAAAATGCTTAGTTAGGGTACAGATATTTAAGTAAAAACTGCAAAAACAAAGTAAGAAACACATATTTAGGTGAGATAAAACACAATGAAGTTTGCTTTCATTTGGGAACCTTATTTGCTAAAAATGTTAGTATTTTAAAGATCAAAACTTCTGTCAAGCATGAGATGCTGATATTTGATCTCTGCTAGGATATCACAGGTCAGGCAGATTCACAGCACAATCTCCTCCATCTTTTGATGCCCCTTCCCATCACCTGCAGAGCAGCCTTTTCATCTGCCTACTTCACCATGTGAGTGATGATCTAAGCAGCAAGGGCGAAAAGACTAGAATCGTCCCACTAAAGAATATCTTCTTATATGAAGTAAGCTCCTTCTGAGCAGAATGTAATAATTTCAAATATCCTTTTGATAGACAAGACAAAACCAGAAAACAAGCCCAGAATAGTGAACGTCTAGTAAAGGGAGCTTCTGGGGATGCTGGGAATCAGGAGAATGAACTGAGACCCACAGTTGGTCCGAGTTACAAGCATCTGGGAAAACATCTGAGCAGAGCAGTTTAGGATTTGATCTTGCAGGAAATAGAGTCAGAAAGTCTGATTTTTATTCAGTTCTAACCAATACTAACTGCTTTAGGGTAGCACTGCCTTCGCTTTGTGGATCCTGGTCTTCCTGGAACACTGGTCTCCTCTTCATCATGTAAGTCAAGCTCTTCTTCATATTTAACAGTCTCTTTCCCAACAGGCATCAAATGTTCATCCAGTTCACCTAAGACATTTAAGAGAGCTTATGTCAGCAACATAAATTTTGCCTAAGAAGTAAATAACCTAAGACAACACAATACTGAGGAAGCAAGTGAAAAAAAATGATGGTAATTAAAAGTCTTTTGCCTTTAAAAATGTAGGAGATGGCTCAGCAGTTAAGAGCAGAAGAACTGGGTTTGGTTCCCAGAACCCACATGGTGGCTCACAACCATATGTAATTATAATTCCAGAGGACCCGATGCCTTCTTCTGTCCCCCACAGATACCAGGCACACACCTGGTACAAATACACAAATGCAGGCAAAGCATGCATACACATAAAATAAATAAATCTTAAAAACAATGTAAAAGTGACAGCAGGTAACAATGTAGAGGATCTATCCTGACACTTAAGTCCAGCATGGGCAAGCCTACAAAATCTAAGATCCAAAAATAAAGTATCAGTAGGCTAGTACCACACATCCCTTTTAAACACAAGCTTTTTTTTTTTTCCTATTTAAAGGATTATTTTCTTCACCAATATAGACTAACCTGATAGTCTAACAAACTATGTGGACAGTTCAGGATCCAATAGTTAGCACATTTTTATGTATTTAAAAAGGGTCAATAACAGAAGTAAAAAGTGGCAGCTGTTTATAGTGAAACTGTAAAAAAGTCAAGAGTCCTGCCCAGCACTGTAGGGTCTCTGAGTTACAGAAAATATATATTAAACCCACCAAAGTATAGCAAAAGCAGCAAGTCTAAACCCTGACAAGCTCCAGAAACCTGCAGAGGCCTCCATGTACTTTTGTTGTATAATTCTGTCATTTTTTTTCACTCACATATGCTTTCAAACATGTTACATACCAATCTTGTGCAGTTTTTCACAGCAAATGAGAGCTACCACTCTTTCAGCCAACCGTACACAGCCCATTGGTGGACCCTGAAAGCAACAACACAGTTTACCAACACACTGAACAGCCTCGGAACCTCTGCCCTGGTACTGTTGCTGATGCCCAACTTGCCAGAACAAGTTTAAAAATACCAACAAGTTTTCAAAAATTCTAGCTGGTTTTTGTTTGTTTATTTGTTTGTTTCCCCAAATTCTGGTGGTGCTGGGAGTGGAATCTAGAGTTTCACACAAATGAGGCAAGGGCTCTACCACCAAGAAACATCCAACTCTGAAATACCCATCTTTTAAAACCATGACTAGTAAAAAAGGAGTTTAAAACTAAGACGTTACAATGTCAAGTAAATATGCATTTTAATATAGTTTAAAGCATATTTTCATTAGTCAACAAATACACAACAAAAAGGTAAAGACATATTAGAATCTAACTGATATATATTAATATGGAAAAGCTTTTCTGTGGACTTTAAATTACTCACTTTGCAACATCAAATACAACAAATTAGTATTGGGTCAAAGAAAGGGCAGTAGTTTACAAAAGGCAAATTTCAGCCAGAGCAGCTGAACTATATTTAATGAATTCTGAATCACTGCATGCAAAGCCACAGCTGATTTCTTAAAAAGGTTAAAATTATTAAGAGCCTAAAGAGAACTTCCAGGGGTCATCTGGTCAAGTTCAAAGAGTTTGCAGAGTGTAGTCTATAAAAATATGAACATAGAACTATGTGACTTACAAATAATTTTTTAGAGTATAGATTTAAAACCAAATTTATAACTTGGATGTCTTAGAGAAGCTAGACAAGCCCTAATGGCATACTTCAATGCAAGTCATGTCTTTTTCTTAACTTACAACAATGGAGGCTCGGAGAGGTGAGTTAATCGGAAGATAAAGAGTTGAATAAAATGTACCATCAGGTAACTCTCGGGTTCTACATTTGGGAGCTAGATGTGTAAACGGATCACTTGGTAATCGAGCACAATATCTGTGAAGAAAAGAATTCTGAAGTTGAATCTACACACGAGGAACTGATAGAAAACTGTCTCAACATTCACAACATCGCCTGTTAGGCTGCCATTTGCATAAGGAATGTTCTTTGTGGCTCCTTTACCTTGAATAGGACAGAACTGGGCACTGGAAATGGATATGTGTTAACTAGGAAACTACATTATTTAATCTTATTTTAATTAAAACTGAAGCTTGCATTTAAAAGGTTGCCCTGCACCTAGTGTTCTGATACTGCACAATACAGAGAAGTGCTCTGATGTAGCAACGAGAGTGCATTAGCGGCATCAGTTTCTTATCTCACACTTGCCAGCAGTCATGGCATATGTAAAGAAGGTATCAGGACAGCAGGAAAGCCTAAGGTTGAACCTAGAGGGCACCAGAATCAGAAGGTCCATGAGTGGTAGCATAAAATGGCGGCAGAGCAGGAAGCAGGCCTGAAAACTCACAGGGGAAGACCCGTGCAGCTAGGGTGCTAGGAAGAGAGGAGAGGCCGCTAGACGGGTGGGCTGAGCACACACTTGACACTTGAGCACACTGGATCAGCTTTCTCACCACAGGAAGAGGGAAGTGCAGAGAAAAAAAGAAATTTAGAATGAACCTCGAGCCACAGTAAAAATGGGGTCAGCAGAAGCAAAGGATGAGACATAATGTAGATATAAATGTATTCGCATGGCACACATAAGTAGGCAGATGTCTGGCTTTTCTTACAAAGAGGCCTGACAGTAGGACACCCCAATGCCTGCTAAGGGTACAGCTCATGCCCACAAGTCCATTTCCCAACACCATTATTATTCACTGCCATTAAGAAACAGGACCACAGAAAACAACCACAATTAAAACATAAGCAAAGAACTCATTCCACTTTAAATTTTTGTACTGTGTAGTGCTGAATTTTCCATTAGCAATCAACTATCATTTTCAAGAATTAATTTGGATTTCAGTATAATTAATTTTCTCCTGAGCAGGCCTAGTTTATATACCAGGATAAATCTCATTTAAGGGCAAAACAAAGGTGCAAATGAATGTAAGAATTAATTCACATTTTTACCTTGAAAACTATTTTAAACATTAAAATGCTGTCGGAATGCTAGGGAATTCTCACCTGCCCTTCACCCAGAAAAACCATTCAAGTTTCACAAAAACATTCTTTGTAATCAAAGCATGAGGTTGCACCAGGCTGTCATATCTCCGTATCTTTGATCTTTCCTTGATCTAAGTGACCTTGTTTTGCACCTCTATCTTTTGGAGTTTCCATAGATTTTTCTCAAGATTAAGCTCAGTTTATATATTTTTGGCTAATCTGTCCTGAAGTATGACTGCTCAAACTGTCTCACTGTGCTCACTGTACCTTTATTCTTCTTGGTGGTAGCACTTGCCACTGAGTACAGTCTGCCAATGTCCTGTTGTAAAGCTGCCATTTATGCACCCATAGAGAGAGACCACATGATGCTGCAGGTTTAGACTTCGACCTCAAACACTGACAAATGATCTAATCCCTCACCTGTTGACGTGTCCAATGGCAGTGTTAATCGTGACTCGTGGACCCCCGTCATCAGGCCTCAATACATATGGTGGGAACACATCATCATCATCTACAACGGCATCAACGTCAGCCTCAGCACCATCCACTGACTTTGAACACTTGTTTCTTAAGATCTGAGCATTCATAAACAAGATATAGGGTGAGAACAAGAATCTTCTTTGCAACATGTTAGCTTTCTGACTTTGTATCTACAGAGAAAACTCTGTACCCAGGCATGGTGGCACTCGTCTATAACCCTAGCATTCAGGAGGCTGAAGCACAATGACCGTGGGTTCTAGACCAGCCTGGGCTACACAATAAAACCCTGTTCTAAAAAAAAATCTTTTCATGTATGCTGTGTGACACAACCATCTCTCCTAATATACTTCAAAAATCCCAAAGCCATTTGTTGCAGCAAAGCTCTCCACAGAATCCTCCCAGCTCCAGCCATATGGAAATACACTGTACAAGGATTATCTGGCACTGTGCATGCACACACAAAAGACACATCAGTGTCTTGTTGGTAAACTACTGTCTCATCACTCTCCTGCCACAACTCAATCACTGGTACTATGCTGTTCACATTTACAGTGCCCATCAGACACACTTTTCAAATGACCTTCAGGTCCTTTGGCACGGATATTTTACTGGGGCACTCTAGATTTCTGTAATCATCTCAACTTCCTTATATGTACACACTGCTGAGACAAGACAGGGCTCTGTAGAACAACCTTTTACTCTTCCCATGCACACACATAAAAAGGAAGAGATTAACTTTGTGATTACACCTTTTCTATAGCTTTGTAGGTCTTAAGGTCTTCTTCGAAGCTCTTTATCTTGTCTGTATCTGCTAACATCACATAGTTAGAGATCGGGGCTCGTGCTCGTCCTTTAGACTGAACATATGATCGATACTCCGTGGGCAAATCAAAACGAACCACCAAGTTGCATTTGGGAATATCCACACCCTCTTCTACGACACTTGTTGCAATGAGCAGGTTAGTCTCGTGAGCTCGAAATTTCCGAAGTACCTGAAAAAGATTCACCAAGAAAAACAATTCTAAGAAATTTCCCAAGAGAAAACATTACAAAATTATTAGCAGTGGCCATTTCTGACATACTCCCTGGATACACACCATCTCTAATGTCAATCTAGGGAAGAAAACTACTACAGAACCAACAAGGCCACAGTCACAAGCCCACAAGCCTTGATTTAATTAAAGGACTTTTCACTGCACGCCTTCAGACTTCAGGCTTCTCCTTACTGACCACAAGCATATAACCCATACAAGTAATGCAGTGAGCCCCTCCTGGAGACCTGTTACTGCTTTGTCCTGCCACAGTGACACCCACTGTCTGTGAGACTGTGTTATGCAAAGATCTGCAAAGATGTCATCATAGCTCCATCACTAAACTCCCCAAGTGCACTTGGAATTAAGTCACAAGCACAGCTTTGCTTATTTGCTAGCACCTGAGAAACTTATTTTAAAAAAATAATTAAAACAAGAGGTAAGTATTTTCACACAAAATTTAAAATCCCATTTCCATCTGTGATGTCTAATTCTGATTAGTGAACTTGATGAGATTTAGCTTAGAACACTTAGAAGATAGACCTCTGAACTGCTGTGGGACAATAGTCTTCTACCCTGTAAAGATTTGTCACTGTATTACTTAAAGAAAACTGATTGGCCAGTAGCCAGGCAGGAAGTATAGGCGGGGCAACCAGGCAGGAAATAGAGGTGGGGCAAAGAGATCAGGAGAATTCTGGAAGACTTAGTCTGCAGTCATTATCCAGACCAAGAGGAAGCAAAATGAAAATGCCTCACTGATAAAAGGTACCAAGCCACATGACTAACAGACAAGAATTATGAATTATGGGCTAATTTAAGATGTAAGAATTAGTTAATAAGAAAGCCTGAGCTAATAATAGACCAGTTTATAATTAATGTAGACCTCTGTATGTTTCTTTGGGACTGACCAGGCAGGACAGAAACTTTTGTCAACACTGGACCTCTTTGTAAAAATGTATCCAGAGAAGTTTAAGTAAAGTTAGAGATGATCCACCTTAAATGCAGGAAGGGCAGCATCAATCCATGTCTTAGGGGTCCAGGTCTCAACAACAAGGGGATAGCAAGCTAAGCACAGATATTCATTTATTTGCTTTCTTACTAAAGATGCAATATGACCAGCTGTCTCATACTACCGTCACGATCCCATTCCTGCCACAGTACTCTTATATCATGAAGCAAAACAAACCATTCCTTACTTAAGCTGCTTCTGTGGATTTTGTCAGTTATAAGAAAAGAAACTAATCTATTTCTCAACATGGCTTGGCTAAGTTATATAGCACACGTTGCTCTTCAGACAGGTATCAGACTGGCTCTTGGACTTCCCAGACAAAAATCTGCTCAAAATGCTAAGACCACATGCCTATAACAGAAATTATTCTGCTAATTTTAAGTTAAATAGAAAACAAACAAATGCATCCTGTCTGCCGTAACACTTAGATTTTAGCATCTTTATATGCAGTTTCCTGTATAAGATTTTTGAAAGTTATGCACAATTTTAAGCTACATTTATAAATTACAGTGATTTTTAGATATATCAAAAAAGGTATGCCTTTAAAGGTAAGCATTAAAAAACACCTCAAGAAGACTATAGTTGTTGCTCTGCAGGTCTGTGAAGGCTATAGTAGTCATGGTCTTATTTATTCTCCTATGAGATGTAGATATCTGATAGTAAATCCATGAAAGAAAATGGACTACTTACTGACAATTAAAACAAATTAATTCACCAGAAGCTATTCTAATTTTGAGTATGTCAACAACCCTTAGTCACTTCATGAGAACAGCAGATCTCTTTATAAACAAGTAATATATTATTACAAAGAAAGGAAAGCGGGGTGGGGGAAAGAAAAGGAGAAAATGAAATAACTGCTGGGGAACTAAGAAGAAAGAGTTTTCATGTCCCAGGTTTCTCAGCTTATTAAGAACCACTGTTGTCATTGTCACCTCCTCTTGCTTTCTGAACTCTGCTTCCATCTGTTTGCTGCGAGGCTGGTTCTTCCCAATGCCATGTCCAGTTATAAAGTTGCTACTGATATAAGCCAGCTCTGGATCTTGTTTGCCAGCTTCCTTTATCAATCTAAGGAAGTAAGAGACATGGAGTTAAACACTTCCAAGGAAAATCATTTTAACTTTTGAGTTTTTTTACTTTCCATTTTTCTACTTTTAGTGTGCCCATGCACAATGCCTGCTTCTCTGTCTGTGTACTACATGTGTACGGTGCCAACAGAGGCCAGAAGAGGGCATCAGAATTCCTGGAACTGAATTACAGACTGTCGTTAGTCACCCAATACAGCAACCAAACACTGGTCCTCTGGAAAAGTAGTATGTACTCTCAATCACTGAGCCTTCTCTCCAGACCCTTAAAATCTAGTCTAAGGTTTCCTTTGAAATAGGAATACAAGTCCAGAGTTTGTACTTGCTCTTGTCTTGTGTGGGCCAACACCCCTAACAAAACAGTTGCTCTAGTTTTAGTTTTACCTCTGTTATTGTGACAAAACACTCTTACCAAAAGCAATGCTGGGGAGGAATGGGGCCATTTCAGCTTACAATGTCAGGTCACAGTCCATCACTGAGGGAGCTGAGGCAGGAATTCAAGGAGGGAACTTGATTGGTCGTCTAGCATACTAGTCTACATAGCATTACCTCTGACCAAGGAATGTATTTCGCAACCAAAAATGTACAGCAGGAACAGAAGATGATGCTTGCTGGAAGGTTCACAAGCCAGCTTTCTTATATAGCCCAGTTATACCTTCTAAGGAGGGTACTACCCACAGTGCATTGGGTCTTCAATTAACAAGCAAGGAAATCCCCCCATCCCCAAGACCAATCTGATCCTCAATTGAAGTTCTCCTCTCAGGTGACTCCAGGCTGTGTTAAGTTGACAGCTAAAGCTTGGTAATTTCTTCCTAACAAGTTTCCAAAAAAAAAAAAAAAGTGTCCTTTCTCATTATACACATTTGCAGGCTGGGTATTTGTAAAGCTGGCTCACACTAACAAGTAAAAAGGTCACTTTACTTCTAACCTCCAAAGTAGGGATGATGACTTAACAAAATGGTGTCCCAGGATGGGACCAAGCTAGTCAGAGAACCACACCCCAGACTTGTAAAGACGACAGGCTCTCTTCTTGCAGAGCAGTGAGTGCAGCCTAACCTCACACGTTCCCCCACAGGTGTGACAGTGGTCCACCTAGGTCATCTTACAATGATCACTAGAAGCAGAGTTCTTGGGAAAGTGGGGCCTGTCAGCTCAATTCAGATTCTCTTTTGGTTCCCAGCCCATGAGTTACAGCGTTCACCCGGCAGAGTCCTGGGCTTTTTCACAGCAATGCCATAACCACAATGTTATGAAGGAGCCCCAAGCTATGGCCCCTTTCTCACCTGCTCCTTGGCATTAACCTGTAGTGCCAGAAACCCAAAGGGGCCTTCTGACTAAACATGGAAAAGAGCTACAGGATGGATCACATTACAGAGACCGAAGGTTAACAGCCAGTGCTGCCATTACAGCTATTTGGAACTACCCACATTCAAAGACTCAGCACAGGATAAACGGTTCCACACCTGACCTAAGTGACTCCACATGGTCCCTCTGAAATCATGCTATGTAGTATAAATTCCTAATGGAAAGTTGCATTTTTAAGTCAAACCATCCTTTTTAAAAAATAGATGAAACAGGCTAATATCAAAGAGCTGGCAAAATGTGGTGGCCATGTAGAGTATCTTGTGCCTCCAGTCAGCAGGCTAGCCAGTCTGTTCTAGGACTCAATGACTTTAAATGTTTAAATTCAGAGGCTTCCTGATCTCCCATTCCAAGGTCTGTTGCATTATTGTGATGAATACACAATGTGGGCAACAAAAAAACAGAATCACATGAAAACAAGCAGCATGCTCCAAAGCCCCAAATCTGAAATAAATTACCTTAGAAATAACATATACTGTTCATTTTAGTTTTACACAAACAAGCATCAATTTGAATGGGTGGTTTTAAAATGCACTTCAAGTTACTACTAATTAAGAATGTGTTTTGCCCAAATTATCAAGCTGGCAGGCTTCAATTAGCTGAAAAAATGAAAATACTAACAGGAATTTATTTTGCCTTAATGATGCTGACATCTAATTGTAGAATTGAAGTGACAATATGCACATTAGTAAAAATACCTTGTAAGCAACAATGTAATGTTATGTATATATGCTGTTAACATTAAGCAGAAATGATTGTTCACCTAGACTAATGAAGAGAATGCCTAACCATGTCCCAAGCCTAAGTCATAGGCATCAAGGAAAAGAAAAGAAGTGTCCGCTATCCTCAGCAAGCTAATAAGCGATTAGCACAAACTTCTTTAAGATTTCTTGGCAGATGATGGAACAGGTGAAAAGGCCCACCCTGTGCCTGTGGCTTTGAAAGAAAGTTGATAGCTATGTGCTAAGCTCCATGGTTCTCCCTGGATCCACAACATCAAAGTAAAGAACCAGATTTTTCAAAAACTTCCAACTCACCAAAACCCTGTATTTCTGTAAAATTCCATAGAAAAAACTACTAAGAAGATGAAACTTAAAACATTGAAATTCAATTGTATTACATTTAGGAAGCATAAAACTCTTGTCAAGTTGCTTCTCAGAGTGTCCATACAAGTACTTTCAACCTCTCTTCGGCACTCGGGCAGAGGGAGGACCATACCATGTGCCACATGATGCCTCCCCAGGTGGATTAGGATGGCATGACCAAACACAGAGAAGTGTACATGAGAACTAGATTACAGAAACTGATTTATGACCACACATGCTACGGAATACAGACACAACAGAATGAACACATTTGTGCACAAACATCTAAAATATCTACCGTGTACTTGAAGTACATTACAACACTTCCCTACCCAGTGTCCCTTAACCCTTAAACTATCTGTCAGTGTGCCCAGCTCCTATCCTGACCCCTGATAGTCATAGGACAGTGCACCGTTTCTGTGTACACTGACGTGTACTAACAGTAAGAGGGAGGAGGTGTTACTACTATTTTATAGATGCAGATACAGATGCATAGGTTTTAAAATTAGATAAATTTACAAAATATGTGCCTGTAAAATGGGTATGAAGAGGAGAGGTCCATTGCAAAAATGGTTGATTATGGCAAAAGAAAATACAAGAGCCACACACACACACATGTGCGCACATGCACACAAACACACATATATACACCAGTGTCCCTTAATCCTTATGCTATGTGTCAGTGTAACACATGTGTGTGTAAATATACACACATACATTATCAACACATTAAAGCAATCTACAAAGCCCTTTTAAGATAAGAACAGTGATGAAGCATCTGTTAGCCAAGTAAAGAAGTACTTAAAACACAAAGGAATGAAGGTGTATAAAGGAGCAAAGAAGCCACCCACAAATAGTTCCTAGCGGCCCCGATGAAAACAACTGGGCATCTGAATGAATAGCACACTACTGGTAAGGTTATGATCCAAAATTCAGACATGGGTCTGCACTGATCCAATAAATACAAACTGAAAGGTAAATAAACAGGATTAAGGAATTAAGGACAATTTCCAAACAACAGGCATATATATGCTGCCTTCCCAGGAAGTGGAGGTTAATCATTCCTTCCTTCTGTAGACGGCCTAAATGTGGAAATTTGCTTTCAAAGCATAAATTAAGAAAAGAGAAACTTCACAGTAGGAAGGTTGGCAGACACTAACAGGAAATTGAACTTCATCAATGACGGTTTTGTTAAGCCAGTCCCTAGTCTGACATGACCAGAGAGAAGTGCCACCTCTACAGTATTCTTTGAAATCCCCTACTCCTAGCTTAACCCTGAGAACACCACCAGCCAGTCCAAATGGAGCAGCAGCATATTAAATACCTGACCAATATTCCTGAGCCTCAAGACCCTCAGAAACAAGGAAAGACCAGAGAAGACTGAAGAGACAACAACAATGCTATATGATCCCTGGGGGGACAGGAAAACTGAGGTGGCAACACACAATTGTATCAAACCAATTAATTACAAGGAAGAGTCAAGGTTGTCCTCAGCTACACAGTGAGTTTGAAACCAGTCTGCACTAAAGGGGATCCTGCCCCCCACCACAAAAAAAGTGCAAAAGGAATAGAGCTAAACATGTAACCCCAGTAACCCCAGCAAATGTCTAAGACACAAAGAGCACTAATTTGAGATTCTATCTTGTTAGTAGGTTAGTCTTGACTACATCTCAAAGCAAAATTCACTTGGAGGACAGAAACAGAAAAATGGAAAACAGACAAATCCAGGGGTGAAGTGTCTAGCACTACACTAATGTTGGTTCCCTGATTGAGACATGGGCCTTAATCATAGGGAAACTGATGAGAGAACACAGGACTCTATCCATCTGCTCTGTAAATTAAAAATAGTTCAGAATGAAAAGTATTAGAGAGGGAGAAGTTTGAGACAGACAGGATATACATGCAGGTCTGTCCAATGGTGGTACCACACAATCCTAGAAAGGCAGAGAGAGAAGACTGAACTTAGTACCTGGGCACCACCTTCTGACACCTGGGTCTGGGACAGGTGTCATCTTCCCCCCATGGAGTACTGTAAACACTGCAGTGAGGATACACAAGACAGACTGCAAGAGGGAGAACAAGCTGGGCTTGCAGCACACACAGCAGCAGTGTGATTGGCAGGGCTGGAGATGAAGCAGCCTGTGTATTAAGATCTTCTACTCTGTCACCAAGGAGGCTTTCCTCCTATAAACAGAGGGGAGGAAAGACTCCAGGTTGCACCAAGTTTTTCTAAGCTCAGTTTATTAGAACAAAATTTCTACTGTACCTTTAATTAGATGCCATAAAGTCAACCCTCAGACAGCTCTTCATTCATCCTAGAATACTAACTCCAGCCACAGTTTATGAAAGCTTATCACAATTAATCTGATCCTTAAGTCAATAGGAAGTGATTGATTTTAAGTAAACCTTTTCTGGCTAATAATTCTGCAATGAAAATGGACACATCTTTGCATTAAAAACACATGCAGATCCTAGCATGAGTTCTTTAAAAGCTTTCATAAAGGGGGCATTCTCTCCAAGCCCAGAAAACATTCATCCTAATGCCATCCGTCATACACAGAGCAGGGAGTCTATCCACAGTGTGGCACCGAACTGAAATGCCTTTTCCCCAGTCTAAGAAATAACACCCCCCACTTCCATTCCCCATCGCCACCTCCATCAGCCACACACCTTTTTGGTCCCCTGGCTTGCTTACTGCTGAAAGCACTCGGTTCTGTTGCTCAGGGACACCCAGGAGCGTTATGATTGTAGAAAGAAATGGAAGTCGAGAGCTGGGTATTAGGATTCTAGAACTGTCTCTGCCACTGACTAGCAATTTAACTTTGAGCAAATCACTTTTCCTCCTGCAGCATTTTTTAGAACTAAGTGCTTGGATTAGATGCTCAGTGAGGTCCCTTCCAACCTTAATGTCCTTTTTAAATATAATTCCATACCTCAAGTTATTTCACTTCATATCCATCAAGAGGCCCAGGCTCAGTGACCAGCAAAATCACCCACCTGAAAAGTACCAGATGACTGCTATCCAATCCAATTTCCCATTATTCAAAAAACTTAAAATTCCTAAACATTCAAGAAGCAGTTAAGAAAAAAATCCCAATTACCTCAGGAAACAAAGCTTAATTTCTCCTCAGAGATGACTACTTTCAGAAAAGGCTCTCAGGGATCAAACTTGGCCAATTAATGGATCTCCCAGAAAAGTACAGTCTTAAGTACAAAATAATAAGGACCCTCTTAAGGAAGAAAATGATAGAATATCTACTAAAAAAACCAAACACACCATATATTAAATGACTACCTGACTCATAGTTAAAGCACAGCTCTGTGTCCAGGTTTCCAGAAAAAAAAAAAAAACAACAATATTTATTAAAAGGATAGAAACAGGGATTAACCATTACTTTCACTAATATTCTCAGAACTTTGTAACATTCTCTTCCAAATCAAAATGGTTTTGTTTGTTTGTGTAGTTGGTTGGTTTTGGTTTTTCAAGACAGGGTTTCTCTATGTAGCTTTGGAGCCTGTCCTGGAACTATCTCTGTAGACCAGGCTGGCCTCGAACTCAGAGATCCGCCTATCTCTACCTCCCAAGTGCTGGGATTAAAGATGTGTGCCACCACCATCTGGCTAACTCAAAATGTTTTAATATGCAGTCTATAAACCAAACTAAACAGCGAATCTCCCTCTAAATTCTCCCCAGTGCAGCCTAGAAGACTGAACAATGGTCCTTCCTCCTATGTTCTCAAACACAGAAGTCAATAACAGAAGACTTGTGACCTCAGAATTTTCCCCAGCAAACTATCGGTTCTGTAGAAGACGACACATTGCTTGTGCCTGTAACTTAATTTGATTCTGTCACTATCAACCTGGAGATATGATCAGATCCCAAAGCCTGAAAGGTCCAGTCTCTAAGAAATGCTCCTAGTTTTCAGATGCCAGTCCCAAGTCCCAAGCAGCGTCCTCTTTAGAGCAGCCAAAGGGTCCAAAACACTGTTACTGGTTTATTATACAGGTTAATATAAAGGATACAGATGAATGGATTCACAAGGCAAGACAAGTGAGGAGGGACACATGACTTTACCCTTCCTAGGTCCACACCATCCAGGAACTTCAGTGACCCGGAAGCTCTCTCCTCTAATCTTCTGGGTTTATGAAACTGTTCTTATATGGTATGACTGGTTAAATCAGTGGTCACTGGTCATCAACTCAGTCTTCCTCAAACACTTGGAAAAGGCTATGTTCCAATCTTGCCTAGATCATTCTAGACCAACCCCCATCCTGAGACTAAACAATTTTTTAGCATACAAATGATACTTATCATTTTAAAGGTTCTAAGGACTTCAGGACCTATATGCCCAGAAACCAGAACAGCATTTCACGGTATCACATTAAAAGGGAAATTTTTAATAATAAAAAAATTCACCCTCAATACTCAGATCAAGTATATGCTAAGAACGTATACAGAAACAGTTGTGTGAGACATGCTCAACGCAAAGCCTAATACGTCAAATGCTGACTGACAACTGACCTGAATTCAGCAACTGCACACAAAACAAGTCATGCTTTACTTCAACTCAACTTTTCTGTATGTTCTCTACTTTGGATTAATTAGAATGAATTAGCATCCTTTAAGACAGAAATGTCAGTTGTGACAAAATTAGTTTTTAGAGAAAGTGACTATAGACATTTTATGTGTTAATTCAGGATAGCATGACACACCAATTCCAGATGAGACCTCGTAAAGGATAGAAACAAGCCTGTGTGCAGGCTCTCCAAGCCCTCACAGCACTGTTTCCTCACATGAAAACCTGCTTTGTTCTGCATGGGACAGACACTGGCTCAGACAATTACCTGTTCAGGACAACTGCTGTGTATCTTCTTTCCACAAAAATAATTCCACATAAAATATTGGTAAATGGAGAAGGGAAATTTGTCTCTGGCTTTTCCTTTTCTTCAATTTCTTCATCATCATCATCATCCTCAGAATCACTCCAGGACACATAATTATCCTGATTCCTATTATTGTACCACTCAACACTTTCAAACTGCTGTCGCTCATAGGGCTTGTATTTGCGCAGGATCTCAAGCAGTTTCATTACTTTAGGAGTCACATACTTCAGGTCAAGTGAGGCAGGTGAGAAGTGCTCTTCACACAGTGCATGTATTTTCCTCAGCAAAGTGTCTGTAAACAGTAAGAACTTCCTGTGCAGCTCCTCTTGCTCGTGTTTGATGTACTTCTGCAGTTCTCTTACCATCATGCCGGCTACTTTGTCCGCACACCAGGGTCCCAGAACAACCAACACTGCACGGCAATCTGAGAGTATCTAGGAGAAAAATAAAGAAAACCAAAAGCTGGATAATCATCACATACTTTCAAACAGCTGAACTTCAGCTGTCCTAAAGCATTTCTTCAAAACCAATTTACCCCAACAGGAACACAGAGACTTTAATTCCCTAACATTAGAGGCACAGCTTAGCAGCCTTCCCAATTTTCCTGTCAAAGATCTATGCCTAGAATTATCTCCTTTTCTCCCAGTAAAGACAATAAATAGCAGCTAAAATATGTAACTGTGAGAGATTTTAAAAGCTAACCTTTAGATGAAGGATTTGTACAACTACAACTGCATCATCTGGTCCCTACTAAGCCCTGTAAAGAACTATGGAGTGCATTAACTCAGAAAAGCCCTACTCTTCAAAGACCACAGTAATGTCCCTTCAATTGTACTCATATCCCACATTCCCTAGTCATTCATACATATGTTGTTTCTACTATATAATACTAAAATGGAATGTTAGGAAGTATGGGTGAATTCTGCCAGGCTAGCACCAGCACTTTCCTCTACAAAGGCGGGACAGTTGTACACCACTGTGCACAGTCCCCTCTGGCTTCATTATAATAAAAAGCACTCAGTAAAATCCAGAATCTCACCTTGGAGCCTATCCAGAGTAGCCCAACTTATAACTTCAGCTAAGTTGAATAAAAATGTACAGCCAGGCTCTACATGTGGCATTTACCAGTTCTATATGCCAGCAAGGACGTTGGATTGAAAATGAACTAAGCAAGATTCATAGGGTTTAAAAACCCAACCAAGGCCAGGCATAGTGATACACACCTTTAATCCCAGCACTCAGGAGACAAAGGCAAGCAGATCTCTGTGAGTTAAGGGTCAGACTTACCTACAGAGTGAATTCAAGGACAACTGAAGATACACAGATACACAGTGAGACTCTTGTCTCCAAAAACCAAACAAACAACAAAAAAAAAAAACAACCTGGACATTGCCGGGGGAAAAAAAAACACAAACAAACAAACAAAAAAAAAAAAAAACACGAGAAATTCTGATCACATTTAAGTGAACATTGATATTTAAAAAAAAAAAAAATCACTGCAAAGACCTACAGTGGTCACTAGTTGTCAAGCATCAATGACCATCAGGATCACTGGAAGGGCTTCTCAAACTCATTAGTCCTACGGGCACCCTCCTGAGACCAGACTCAGAAGGCCAGGAATGGGTCTCATAATTTTTACTTCCAACGGGATAAAAGGCAGAGTGCTGCAGCTGCTGCTGCAGGTGTGGGGTATTCTTGTTACAAATGTTAGGAAACAGCAGAGGACCCAGACCAAAAGTTTCAGCAGGAACTAACTCATCTGACCAAAAGCAAAGCAAAACAAAACAAACTGGACTCGCTTCTTAAACAGGCATAATCCAAATTCCTAGTCCTGCAGGGGGAGGGTTATAACACTCAAGTGACTGTCAAACAAACCCAAACTTAACACATGCTAGCTATCACATGTTCAATGAAAACTGTCCAGCACTAATAAGATAGTTTAAACTGAAATGTGGGAGAAAGAGCCTCAGCAGAAGTACTCCTTCATTGCAGTGCTCAACGGAGAGAGACTCTGCACATACTTACCTGTTTGGAAATCAGAGTAGAATCTCTTTCCTTTGAATGTACAGATACATTACAATCATTGATAAAATTAAGTGCTTCTTCTAATTCCATCAGCAGTCTTTCATAAAGCCCACTTCTGTCAGTAAATGGTCCACAATCTACCACAATCTCACACGGCTGAGAAGTGTATCTTTAAAATCAGAAACAAGCTGTCAATATCATCAGTGAAAATGAATAACTGCTTTTTATAAAAACAAGGAGCCGGGCGATGGTGGCGCACGCCTTTAATCCCAGCACTTGGGAGGCAGAGGCAGGTGGATCTCTGTGAGTTTGAGACCAGCCTGGTCTACAGAGCAAGTTCCAGGACAGGCCCCAAAGCCACAGAGAAACCCTGTCTTGAAAAACAAAAAAAACAAAAA